GGAACGAGGAGGCTGTAATAAGGCTAATTCCCATGTAGAGAGGATCCTCTTCCTTTTCTTTTTTTTGTCGTTCAGCCGTTTCCCGGTCTTGCGCCAATCCAGTTTCTTTCCGTCAAAGAGTGTTAGAATGAGAATTTAATAGGTATATTTGCTCTGGTCAAGACGCAAGGAGTGGGCACATACTGATATATGTGGGGATATCGGCCTCTATAACGTCAACAAGGATATCATCTATCCTCGACTTCCGTACATAAAGTAACATATATGCGTTCGTCGCCTTCCCCTCTGCTCCATAATTTTCTTCCATGACGTTCCTTAGCATTGCACGAGTGACCTTGTCGTCATCAAATTTATAAAAGGACCCGTTTGGCGAAGGACGCAAGTATACCCAGTACCTACCGCCATGGACACCTCCACTGTGCACAACAACACCAGTGAGTCGGTATATCCATGGCTCAGACATGTCCGAATCGGCTGAGAGATAAGGAGAGGCATCAAATTCCTCAGGATAACTGAAAGTGTCGTTCACTTTCAGTAGTTGGCGCTGAGCCATGTCATATGCATATCGCTTCAAGTGGAGATGAAGAACAGTAGGGAAGCTTCCAAAGATAACGCCAGTTGCGGTTTTCCTGATGCCATGTTCGGTCCGTTCCTCATCGGTATTCTCCCTGATGTAGTCTTGAAAGCTCTCTGCAAGAGAAGGAATATTCTGGACATTGAGACTGATATCTAAGAACTTTTCTATCCTCAGCTTTTGGACGCCATCGACGGAGATGTAACTCTTTACTCTGCCAAGAAAAATATCAGAAAGTTTGGATTCCACCGCAAATCGCTCCATGAACACCCTAGCCATCTCTTGGGCATCCTGTTGCATAAAGAGATGCTGGGGTCCCCATCCAAGTCCTCTGGTAAGCTCTAGAGCTGAGACAGGACTATCGTCGGTTTGTAGTGAGTAGAAAAGGCGTTGTAGTGCCCACAGAAACGTGTTTTTGGATGAATCATTATCAAGTGGTAGCTGATAAACAGTCTCCTTGATCTTAGTGACCTGATAATGAATAGATAGAGTTCATGGTATACGTGTACTGTACATAGGCTGGTGGAAGCATACCTTACGGAATATGTTCGTAAAATAGAAACTCTGCAATATGACATTCAGATAGCCAGTTGAGCCAAGGTTTTTTAGGCCAATTAGACCAGTAGCTTTCTTCGAGTCGTAGCTATCACGGTATCAGAATTGTGTCAGAGTTGTGATGTCAACAAACACGGATGCTCACTCAAGAAAAGTATGCCATAGGACTCCAGTATGGTCTCTGATAATGCGCACGTAAACGGTTATATTCGCCTCCTCGTTACCCAGAAGGGATGGCTTATCCCCGAGATATCCTAACAACTTTCTAAGTTCGCAAAATTTGGTGAAACCCCAATCCGGCCCATCTGTGGAGAAACGGAATTTGGCATCTAGGACAAGTTTTAGCCACAGAAGGACGAGAATAGGATGACTGGGACATAAGTATTTACTTTTGGAAATGTAAGATGATGGGCTCTCGGTATTCCATAGGACCAAAGCGAACTGGACACAGGCACTCCAATGCCCTGGCATCTCTCCCTCATCGTAGCCGTGCTTGAGGTATACAGATAGATGCTGGTTATGGCGATTTCCATGGGGGTAGAGTAGGATCCTCCTACTCGAATTAACCCACGAATATTCAGAATTTTCAAGGCCACTGCTTCCATAGGCTATTTTCAAACAAGAGGGACGGCCTACCACTTTGAGCCACCGCATTCAAACTTCGGACTTAGTTCTGTCTTCTCCAATTCCGTCCAGTTCGGTAAACGCCAGGTGAAGTGGGTTTGTTCCTCTGTTTCCAAAGCTGGATCGACGGGCAACCACTTGGCCATCATGGCATCATCTGTGATATAGATGAATGAATTCTAAGATTAGCACCACAGCCTCTCTCTTACACTTGGACAGAATTGATATTGACGCTCTCCGTACGGAGCGGGGAAGTATGCACAATCTTCGAAGCAACTAAAAACATAAACGGATTAACCTTACAATCGTTGGCAAGAGGTTTCGGTTCCTGTTTGAATGATCAGCCGTAATGAGCATAGGATTGTATTTTAACAACAATTTGTTCTTCTTTTTTAATGCTATCAGAATTGGTATTTCTGTCTTTCGGAGAACGTTGCGGAAGCCTGATAGATATTCTATATTTATCTCACATTTTCCGCAGGAGGCTGGCCTCCTTGAGATGTTCGGGAAGCCATGGAGTATTTTTCCTCCAAGCATGTGTTAAGAGCCGTTGGAATAGATTATTAACGACGGATCTGGACCAGGTATATTCGAAATTCCAAGCGAGGAGTATATGATATGATATATTTCTTATCGAAGATGCAGGGCTTTTAAGGAATGTGCTTGGAGCTAGACAGTCAGGTCGGCAAGCCACAGTCACAGATTCGAAAGCACGGGACGCTTCTAGGAGGATCTAAATAACTAACGTAATCCACTTCTCCGTTTTTAGAAGCAAATATAACGACAACTATATAGAAAATGAGTTTAATTACATTATGAACTATTTTCTGTAGGTCCTGAGCATGTATGAGCAGCATGTTCAATAGTACCACATATACTGCACTGTGGTGCTGCTCATTTTCATGATTGAGAGTCAAAAACCTCAGCTGTCCCTCTATCCCCTTCATTGACATTTTATACACAATCTAATCCTTCTTCAACTCTTAAAACACCTTCCTGAGCTATATATGTATAGCTTTTCCCTCACTTTCTCTTTTACTTCTCATTTGCAGCTCTTAGTTCCTTGTTTTCCTTTGCCAGAATAGCAGCGTTATATATAGTTAGTCATTTGACATTTTTAAGCAGTTGATCCAGGGCTTGATTAATTGGACTAGGTGAACTCTATATACAGTGCTTGAGATATTTCTTGACTTTCTCATTCTGCAGCTCCAGTTGTCATATATTATGAAATACAACTATGATTCAGAAGACTTAAAACTATGAGAATTCTCTATGAGCGTTGTAAGTATATGGTTATTTACGTGTTCAAATGATCAAAGACTTGCTCTGAATTGTATAAAACTAGCCATAAAGCTTTAAATCACTATTAATGTTGTTCTCATTTAGAGTGTCTATACAAGCTGTTGAATATAGAGTGAAATCTTTTTTTTTTATCGATATAATTAATGTTAAACTGCATTTTCTCTTTCATCTATCATCTGTACACCTTTTTTAGAGGAGAAAAATAGCTAACATTTAAAAACTGAAGAAGATGAGAGAAATGAGATAATATAGAATGAACAATGATATTATTCTTAGAGTAGAATTGATCAAATACAGCTGAAGTATGACTTTTATATTCATCAAGAATCAAGTATCCTCGTCAAACATCTCTTTGAGTCAGATTAATCTCAGCTTTCATTTGTTTAGCCATTCCCACCGACTTTAATCATTCAGTCATGTGACAGCTTTTCAATCTCACATTAAGAGAATTAATATAGTTTTCTCTTCAGAATTGTAACGGTCACAACCCTAGCACTTCCTTATACCAAAAGACGAATTCATTAGGAGAAAAGAAAAGAGAATGAAAGCTATGAGGGGGGGGGGGGGGGGGGGGGGGGCCCAAATTTTTTAACCCGGAAGAGGAAAAACCGGAAATTTTTTAAGCGGATGGGCTAAGGGTTTTGGTTACGAAAGGTTATCACCCAGACGTTAACTAGATCATCATATACAAAGGTTAGCTTATTGCATTACCTGCTGCAATAACAGTAGCTCACTCTCAGCCTTCAGACTACAAATTTTGAACAATCAACTTTTTCACACTCAGTAATCACTTCTAGCCGTTTCAATAACTCTTATCTAAAACTTAGTCTCATCAAAGTTGTATCTTCTATGAATTATCTTAACATTTTCACATGGAGCTCACTGATAATCATACTTTCAGAAGAACTTGAATTTTGACACATCATGATGATTGACAAAGTTTCATCCTCAGTTAAAATCAACTGTTGAAGAAGACTTAGATTCAGATTTGATTTCCTGTTCAGAAGTAAATTGATCATATTTTATACAGTCACATTCTGGAGTGACTGACCTGGATAGAATCCATTGAACGTTTCAATTCTTGGGTGGAGTATCAACGGGTGGTATATAGTTAATCATAAAGTCGATAGTAAAGACTGGAGTAGAGAATGTCATATAACTTTGCAGTAGCAATTATGCTTGAAGAATAACCATCTTTAAATGCTTTAAACAGCTAAGAGAACTCTTACTTGTTAAATAGCTTTTTTAGCATTTGTGATTGACATTTTGTTATTTATATGAATAAACGTGTTGCGTGGTAGAGAAGTTATCCATTCACTGGTATTATCTGTTCGTTTGTGTTCGCTAGTTAAACACTGCCACTCCTGAAGAGCCTAGAGGCGTTGGGTGGTCTCGTATCTGCATGGGCGTGGATGTGAATTGGGCTGCAAAGGGATCATAGACAATTGACAGCATTTTCAAGAAGAACTATACGTTGTGGGGATTATCCGCTGTAATTTGTGCATTGCATCACACTGCCAGATACAAAATAATTTGAAATATAATGATAACATTAGAGGCAACTGTACTCCGCATATATATGTAGAGATATCTGCAGCAACGAATGATGCAAGATAAAACATTGACACCTGTACTGTAGTATGATACAGATCTCGTACGCAGGAATGTGAAGAATTGACGGCATAAAGTCGTGTAATTTTGTATTGGTACCTTGAAACCACTTAACTTTATTTACATCCCCAGATCGCCGACATTCTAACCATGGATCCCTAGATGACTTACTAATCGCATTCTACATCGTTGTCGTGGTTAGATGACCGATGCGATCACCCATCATTTTAAGAGAAACCATTCCAGTTGGTGAAGGGACACACGGGTTTCTGACAGATAAATAATGCCTCTTCGAAAAGCGCCGCCTTGTCCATCGCTGCTCTCTCCCTCCGCATACGACGATGACGTTTCCTCTCTGAGATCACTGTCCGACCAAGACTCGGATTCTGAAGATGACGAGCTTGTCAAAGACTCCAGGACGACCTTGGAGCTATCTCAGCACGATAGAACGGTTCTGGAGGAGGAAGAAGAGCGTGAGCGGCTCCTTGTTAGACAAAGTCGAACAGACGGGCTCTGGAGGATACTCGGATCTGGTCACGACAATGCCAGCAGCGTACGAATTGGAAAGCGGGAGCGAAAGAGGCAGCGGCGTTTGCTGCGAAGAGCGGAATGGATAAAGCGCCAGGAGGGAAAAGAGAATGAGCAGGGTCTCATGTACGAGATGGAAGAGGGCAAATTTCATGACGATGCGAGCTCTCAGTCATCAGCAGCGTCCTCAGATTTAGTCCCTGTCACGGCAGATTCCCGTTTCTACAAATCAGTATGTTATATTGTTGTTTCCTTTCCGTGATCCAACTACCTGGCTTGTTGCGACAAGTAAGCTCGTTTAGTTGAGGTTGCTAATAAGCATTCTCTGGCTTAGTCGAGGGGCTCCTGGTGTTGGAAAATTTGCTTACTATCAAATGGCGTTGTGGTCTTATTCCTTCTCCTTCTTTTGGGCGCATACAAGGAGTCGACTGGTTTCCGATCCTCTCACCGGCATCGCACCATTCTCTCCAACGGCACCTCTCTCTTTGCTCCAACAACAATTCTTATTTCCCTAGATGGCTTTCGGGCTGATTTTCTTAATCGTGGGCTTACTCCAACGCTCAATTCATTTATAGCCAACGGAATTTCTCCCGACTACATGCTTCCTAGTTTCCCCAGTGTGACCTTCCCAAATCACTTTACGCTGGTTACCGGACTCTATCCTGAAAGCCATGGAGTTGTCGGCAACACATTTTGGGATCCGGTCCTTAAAGAGGAGTTCCATTATACTGACCCGTCCAGAAGTATGCAGCCAAAGTGGTGGAGTGCAGAACCATTGTGGGTGACGGCTGAAAATCAAGGCGTTCGGACAGCAATCCATATGTGGCCTGGCTCAGAAGCTCATATAGCTAACGTTGAACCCACCTATCTTGATAAATACAATGGAAAGGAAGATTTACTTCGCAAGGGCAATAGAGTGCTATCATTTTTAGACCTGCCGGGAGAGGAAGATGATTTGCCGTCCAATACAAATAGACGACCACAACTAATCGCAGCCTACGTACCCAACGTTGATAGTGATGGACATAAGTTTGGCCCGAATAGTACTGAAATCCGAACTACCATCACAAATGTCGACAAAATGCTTGCAAATATTTTCCAAGGCCTCCACGACCGCAATCTCACGGAAATTGTCAACTTGGTCATTGTATCTGACCATGGTATGGCCACCACTTCCACAGATCGCCTAGTTCAATTAGAAGATTTGATCGATATGGATCTGGTGGATCGCATTGATGGGTGGCCCCTTCGGGGTATCCGGCCTAAGCGTCCTGAAGACCTCGAAACCCTCAAGCAGCAGCTTTCGAAATCATCCAAAGCGTACCATGACTCGATCGAAGTTTACACCCGGGAAACAATGCCCGAACGGTATCATTTCTCCAATAACGATCGTATTGCTCCTCTCTGGATAATTCCTAAAACTGGATGGGCCATTGTTGAAAGAACGGAGTTTGACGTTAAGAAGATGCAAATGAACAAAGAAGTTTATCGACCAAGAGGTCTTCATGGATACGATCACCAACATCCTCTAATGAGATCCATCTTTGTTGCTCGAGGCCCTAAATTTCCCCACAATCCAAATAGCCGTATGGAAGTTTTCCGTATGTCCCCTTCCGTTTCCAACTTCCGAATTTTCCAGGTTGATTTTAACTAACCAGACGTCCGCCAGAAAACATCGAAGTCTACAATATAATTTGCGACTCCCTAGAAATAAAACCATTCCCCAATAACGGAACTCTCCGCCTCCCCCTAAATCCCATAGGTCTTCATTCCGATGAAAATAATCCTGCCCTCGAAACCCCTGATGACCCGCCTGTCAGTACAAGCAGCAGTGCCTCCATAACCCTAACAACTCAGACTAGTTCGCAAAATCTGAAACCAACTACTATATCAGCCTCCGCAGTTCCAACCGCCACCTCCGCTCCCGATAACGACGATGAGAATGATAGCACCACCAATAAATCATCATCATTTTTGGACAGAATCCTTAACAAACTCCAAAGGTTAAACAATTGGGCCACTAAATTCCTAGAATCTGTTATTGAGTAATGCATTCTTTCCTTCCTATCAAACCGGCGCATTTTAGATTTCGCAGATGATTATTTATCTTTTGATTCTCTCTACATAAACCGTACATGCTTCCCAGATCTACTTTCCATTTTCTGATGACACACCCTGAGTAATTCTCACCCTGGGATTTTGGCTTGTCCTACTATTTTGATTATCTATATATACCTCTTTTGTAGTATTTTGGCTTTTGAATTGTTTTATGTCCCATTATACATATTTTATTCTGTGTTTGGGTTTTTCTTTTGTTTTATCAGCAACTCCTCAGTTTAGGACTTTGCCCTGATTGACATGGAGTGTCTCACTCTGTGCTATTATAATTTTTTCTCAAACTTCTTTCAGAGCTTTGTCTTCCTGTTATTTTTTTAAATCGCCCACGAATTCTGGATATTAGAAAGTGTTTTCATTGCGTATTTATAGTCTATAAATATTAAACAAAGACTCAAGCCCTAACCTTCACATCCTCCGCTTCATATCCTTTGGCTATTATCCTATCATCCCTGAATTACCTAACAAAAAAAAAAAAAAAAAAAAAAAATTCAACCAGGAAGGGAGCCAACGTCAAAGCATTGCTACCATGATGACTTAAGTTGTCACTCCGTAGTTTTACCTCTACTCCTACCTGGATGGCAATCCTTACCGCCTTTTTATTGATTCATCGTTGCCAATCCGAGTATTCTTGGCACCCTCACGTTTGAAGTTCATCACCCACTCCTCCACTCCATCCACATCCTCCTTTGACGAGTCTTTAGTAGATGCCCTTGGATCTCCGCTGGTGTGAATTTATCCGCGGAAACCCGCGAGGCGAATTTCGAGCAAGGAAATCGAAATTTGTGTCCTCGTTGGTAGCCTGGCGGAATGGCTTGATGTGGGTATGAAGAGGACCTTACGTGATGAAACTGCAGGTTTTCACGGCTCTCTGGCTGAAGTTGTGGTGGTTCCAGAGGGTGATTCAGATATCGTTTTTGGTTTGATAAATGGCGAGTTTGGGGGTTTGCACCCTCCAGCTGTAGTTACGACAGTGCCATGGGAAAGATGGACCAGTTCGGTTTTTATGTATCAACCTCTTGTTGGTTATGCCCGGAGCATCGACGTCCTCGAAAAGGACATTACAACGAACAGGAAGGAACGAGAAGAGTTGTGCAGCTGATTCTTCTGAGATGCAAAATGAGTTTAGCCTTGATATATATCGGTAAGCCCAGGTTACCAGCAGCAGCGAAGCAAAGATTTGTTTTACAACATCCTGGAGGGCCATAGAATAGGTATCCTCGTCGATAAGGGATGCTGCCGATTACGTACCATCGCTTGGTAGAGAGCCTGAGGTAATCTTTTATAATATCTTTCATAAAGGCTAGGAGATAGGTAAAGAAGAAAAGGATAAAAAGAGGTGGCAAGATCATCCAATTGACCCCAATTTATTCCTTTGCTCCCCTGGAACTTTTTACGATCATTGCTCCTCAAAACACAGATTTTCATCCTCAGTATATATAGCAAAGGGCAAGGGAAGGGGCAGGGATGGAAATCACATTTGTGGTATCAAGCGCGAGTTTAGGACCGTTGTTTGTTCCTAGGCCCCGCGTTCTCTTCAAGTCGGAAGTGACCAGCTTAGAGACCTTGAGAGCAGATCAGCTCCAGGTCGCTTTGAAGAGAAAGAGCCGTCATCATCAGTAGATGCGCCGCACGACTTGTCTCAATGGACGATTTGCCATTGGAGAATGAAGAATCTGTCGCTACACCGTACACCGTGGCCGTAATGCAGCAGAGCCGCAGCTCTGCCACTCATAACCGAAACAGCGTATGGAAAAAGCGGGAATGACCAGATGAGATTCCAGTACGCACGGTTCATCTCTGTAAGAGTCGTCGCTCCTGAAGATTTTATGTATGAAGCATCCTGGAATGTGGAGCATGGATTGAGCCTGCTCCTCGCACAGTTGCCTAGCTCTTCAGGAAGAAGAGAAGCAGCAAGATGCAAGGATCCTTTCCTGCATGCAAAAGAATTGGCGGGGCTGCGAACATGCGTGACCAGGAAGCTCACAGGTCCACAGCCCACCACTGGCAGGTCACAGAATAGCAAGGGCGAAACCGACAACCCTGAACAGAAACCCTTCTCATCTCGACTTCCCAGTTAGTTTCTACGTACTTGTCAAAAGAATATTTGTTTTGAGACGGTCGCAAACCTTCGGATTATGCGGAGTAGAGTTGTTTCGATATTGGATTCCTTCAAAACGAAAAATGGCGGTGACTGCTGCCTTCGCGATGACATCATAGGAAAGGGGGTTTAGCCGCGTGCCTGAACCTTGCCCTAAGTTAGGGTTATGTAAAAGTTTAGCCCCTTAATTTCAACCTTCGGATATTGAGACAATTTTTATTTCTTATCGTCGCCCGATATAATCTTCGATGACATGTCAAAAAATCTGGAATACGGGGGTCTTTGAATTCCCTCCTTGAAGTTCAACTGTAGCTACTCCCCAGCTGAAACGCTAGGCACGCGACGCCAGAAACCTAAAGTTGGAGAGTATATATGACGAGTGCAAGCATTGGTTGTACCTGTGCATTTTTGATGGACTGCTTCTAATTTGCTGGTATTTTGCATAGAAATAGCGGGACTGTCGATTTGTTACCTTCAAGCAGACCAACGAGCCAGAACTGCCTCCTTGATGAAGTCCCCTAGTTCAAATACCCATGAAGAAGACATGGGACCATGGGACTTTACGAATGCATCTGAGGTAATCATCAGAGCGTTGGTTGTCATGAACATGTGTACTTGATGGTTTAAGAAGACAAAAAGAATATTGGAACCTAGAGTCGAGGCAACTCCACCTGGGCAATGCTGTCCTCGATCACCAATACACACAGAGACGCATTTTGAGAGGCTTGTTTATTAGTTGTTAAATGATCGCTCGATTAGACCATTTTCATTCTCAAATTAGAACCTAACAGCGGAAACAATTGCGTGATTTCCCTTACACAATCGACAAGAAATAGATCATGGTTCATAAAACAATTATGTGGCATATAGACGTATATATATATATATATATATGAAAACTCCTTCATAACAGAGATCTTGGGCCCGGATATCTTCTCAGGGGCATCGGTCCCCAAATTGGTCTTCTTACCGAGCTGTTGTTGTTGTGGCTTGCAAATGAAGCATTATTGCACTGGTTCCCAGGGATCGTTGCAGCTGGAACCACTTCGAACCTAACTGATTTCATAACCTTTGCAACGTCGGTCAGTCTCACTGGAAATCGAATTTCGCCGTCTCTAATAAATGGAGCCCAAAGATGGCTGGGTGACGAGGGCAAAATTGAGTGATTGGTTAGGGCTATTATGGGCGTAGAAAGGGTTTTGAGATCAGTAGAGAAAGGAGGTTGCGTTCGGATGATATGAGTCGTTTCGAGTCCGTCAACGGGGCCAATTTTCATCTGGAGCGACCATTTTAGCAGCTAGCATATATAACAGGATAGTTCGCTGGTTCCTCCTTCATGTTCAGGACGTACAAATGTTCTTGAAGCTGAATTGAAGATACTAATGTGGCTATCAGAAAAGGCAGTTCTAATAGAGTTACATACTTTCATGAAAATAACATCTGGCCTTCTTAAAGCCAGGCCATGGATACACCGCTCCAGATATTCCAACGCTTGCTGACTGGTCGCAGCCACATCAACGGTAACACCTAACTTTTTGAGGATCTTCTCCATAACCAACCGGTTAATGTCACTATGGGCATTGTTAGCCTATGTCGCACGGTGTTTTGGAGAAGAGAAAACGATGTGTAAAAGCAGGGCCATGCGATAACCACGTTATATATTCAACTAGGCCATAGGTTATGCGATTCTAAGTCTTGAACATACTTATGATCAACTATGAGAGCGTGCATGTTAAATCTGCTGCTGAGATTGCGAGTGCTATTGAGCGATCGAAAATTAGTGGCGAAGATTCAGAATGAAGCAATATAGTATATTCTCACGTCAACCCGTATTTCTCAAAGGTATAGACAGTAGTTGCATGATGAAAATCTCAGGGCCGTTTATCCTCATTTTAAGCCTCCTCGAAGGAGTGACATCATTTGCATTTGCTTGGCCTCCAAACACGGCCTGGGGTAACTAACTATTAGTTAACCGACTGTTATGAAGACCCTGGCGCATTTTGCAACGGCTTTGAGCTGCAGCCGCAAATCAGCTTTGTGCTGTGGACACTAAAGCAGCCACAACTCATCTGAATAGCTGACAGTGTAGAAGTTCACAGAGGAGGAGGGACACAGAGAGTCTGCTTCCACTCGCCTGTCATTTGTCTTGCGCTTTTGCTGCGCTTCGGAGTACAGTTTCTCATCATCAAGACATGTGGGCAGTTTACACAATTGCTTCCTCAGTAACTAGTAGAAATGGAAAGATTTGAAAATAGGACATATCTGGTCATGTAGTTGAAAGATCAGGCCGAGGAAACGTAAGCTAACAATTGAAAAAAAACCCGAAATAACTATCGCCTCATGAGAAAGTAACATACTTAATTCGCCTGTGCATAAAACAAGGGGATGTTGCCTACAGAATGATTGTGCCGATGTCACCTAACTCAAATGCCATGTCAACAACGTCCCTGTCTTCTGCCCCTCCTCCTCGCATGAAGGCCCCAGTTGATCTATTTGTTTTATTGACGCAAAACCGCACGTAAACCTTTCAAACGAAGGACAATATTAGAATTCCAAAACAGAAATGAAGAAACCGAGTTATGAAAGAAAGAAAGACATAAGGGATTGCGTAACACAATATTCACAAGAGCTTGGCTCCTGGTCCTTTTTTTTTTCTTTTTTTTTTTTGGGCTGCTCAAAGGCTCAGACTGCTGTCGGCCCAGAGGAACCCAGACCTACAATTTTGACTCGCTGCAACAATCTCATATGATAAAAAGGACCTTCACTTTAGGTGGGTCTTTATGTCTCCTCCGCTTTTTTATGGAGTATGGAATATGTCTTTTTGAAAGTGATGGTATCATTGATATTCAGAACAGTACAGCACTCCATACATACATACATACATACATACATACATACATACATACATACATACATACATACATACATACATACATACATACATACATACATACATACATTACCTAAGTACTTTTATACACATTACGGTTACTATTCATAACAGACAGATGCGAAAAATACAGTATTACCACCGTCCGTTTTGAGGGTATTTGGAACAACGGGTATTCGGGCACTGCGAACCTGTATGGTCCTGTGTTTCACCAGGGGCCATGTGCTGAGATCAGATAACTTTAGCTGGGTCCCACGCGGCTTAGGTCCGCCCAAATCCGGATCAGATAACCTAAACCAAACGAACAGCCCGAGAATGAAGCGGATTCTGGCGTGCCCAGTCCCCCACCTGGGCTTATCAGATGCGACGGAAAATTATCGCCAAGTGTAATTTAGCACATAGTTACCCGGATTTTGCTGTGAAGCTTTTGGACGTGAGAGGAAGCATCGCTGGTTTTCATGCAATTCTCACACTTCAATACCCCAACCCCCGACGTGGCACCCCCCTGTTAGGCTGTCTTCCAGACCTGCGGTACCGGTTGTAATTTCCGCGGTGGTGGTCAAGAAAGCCCTCGATATGGACGGCAAGACACCTTCAACATGTTTTCTTCTTCACACAAGGAATGCGTCTCATGTTGGCACCGTCAGTTCTCTAAATGGCTTGAATCCACAACCGTGCCAGCCATCCCGTGTCAAATTTCTGCCATGATCTCGCGTTTATACCATCTTATATTTACCTACACTTGTTCAGTCATCTCGTCACTTCTCAGCGCCCCACTTCTGCACAAGTTATTCCAAAGTTGGACTCTCACTATGCCTAGCCATGAGGGATCCGGGAGTTCCTCCAACGGAGAGCCTCCCCAACAAATTCTAGTGATTGGCGGTTCGTACTCTGGACTTGCGGCAACCGTCAATCTTCTTGATCTATGCCAGGGCCGAAATTGTCGATTTGCTGGTGGCTTGACTTCTGAGTCAGGAGACGTGAAAAAGAAGATCAATGTGCAGGTAACCATCGTGGATGAGCGAGATGGCTACTGTACGTTCCTCCACGATCCCACTAGAGAGCGCAAAATAGGATACTAACAAGAGGTGAACACCTCACAAGACCACCTCATTGGGACACCACTTGCATTCGCTTCGGAAGAATTTGCCTCTTCTGCATGGAAAAAGTTCACAGACATCCCGGCCCTAAAAACTCCAGCCGTTAAATGCATCCAAGGCAGTGTCAGACAAGTGGACTGTGAGCGAAAAATCTCCATCATTAGGGAAGCCGTCACAAACAAGGAAATTGTCCAAAAGTATGACTACTTGGTCGCAAGCTCGGGCCTGAGACGAACGTGGCCAAGCGCGCCACAGGCTTTGACCAAAGATGAGTATCTTCTTGAAACGAGGAAACATATTGAGAAAACAAAGATTGCAGAAAATGGGGTAATTGTTATTGGTGGTGGTGAGTTTTCCAACAAACTGATTGATCTTAATGTGTGATATATAGTACTGTACTCCTTTGACACGCAAGGTCACAGATTAACTGAAGAAATAAATTTGTAGGTGCTGTCGGTATTGAAATCGCAGCTGAGTTGAAAATGATACAGCCGGACCGAAAGATTACCCTGATACATTCGAGACCCAAGCTTCTCTCATCCGAGCCGCTTCCTGACGAGTTCCGCGATCGGGCCCTCAAGCTACTTCATGACTGTGGTGTTGAAACCATTATGGGCTCACGGGTCGCTGAAACAACGCAAATACAGTCGAAGGAGGGTGTTCCCCCGATTTACACTGTAAAATTAGCAAACAGTCGTACGATGGAGGCCAGCTATGTCATCAATGCCATATCCAAGTATAGTCCAACTACTTCCTATCTGCCCAATTCCGTGCTTGACAAAGAAGGTTATGTGAAAATCAATGCGACGTAAGCATCGCCATCACCATCACAGCTCCCTTTCGCAAAACAACTGCAGTTTGCAGGCAGTTTCCGATAGCGGCTGACATATATCACTAGCCTAAACTTCCCGGAAGAGGTGCCAAATTCCCAGTACCATTTTGCAGCCGGTGACGTTGCTCTCTGGTCGGGTATCAAACGGGGTGGCAGAGCAATGCACCACGGGCACTACGTTGCCATGAACATTTACCAGCGAATGCTGAGCGAGATGCTTGGGACAGCGCCAAAATTCTCAGAACTGCAGGACCTGCCCCCGTCAATGGGACTGGCTGTGGGGGAAAATGCAGTTGCATATAGTGACTTTGATGGTGTGGTGTCTGGAGAAGAAGTCTCAAAGCTGTTCTTTGGGGATGATTTGGGATTTTCAAGTATGCCTATCTCCTTTAAATTACCTTTTTATTCTTCATTTAGTAGAACTTTTACGTTCTAGTCGAGAGGGTTGATCTGTGCTAACATTGAAACAATATCGTAGTTTGCTGGAATTATATGAAGCTTGGAGACGCGGCGAACTAATTTATGACACATCTAACTGTTTGGCTGGTATTATGGCATGGTGTTTTGATGTCCGGATGGAGTCTGTACCCACCATCTATGACTAGTGTTCAAGATGTTTTGGTAGTTAACGGTTTGATCAAGAAGAATAATGGAACGTTTTGTTCTCCTACAGCTCCTACAATGCTTTCAATTGGAATTATCTTCTCTCCGGATACTTCAGATAGTCCGGTACTGCTGCTCATGCAATTATCTAGAGAATTACACAAACGTATTGAATATCTTAACAACTATGAGATTTTCTATAGTTAATAAACTAAAATTAAAGCAGCCATAACACATATGAGTCAGCAACCTTCATGAAAAATCATATACCAAATAAAGCCTCTAAGAAGATACTCTATGGAGAGTAGAAATAGCACCACAAACAATCCCGAAAGTACATACAAACACCCATTTAACAGTTACCGTTGATCTACGATCCAAGCATTTCAAAGATCATTCAAATGCCTGATGCAGAGCATTAATTTTATAACTCTCGCTTCGCTCCACTAATTCTGCATGAGTACCCTGATCAGTGCATTTTCCATCCTCAATGAGAAATATAACGTCTGCTTTTCGGATAGTATACAGTCTGTGCGCAATGGCGATAACAGTGATACCTCGGGTAGCTGTTTCTAGGCCAGCTTGAAGCAGTTGCTCGGATTCTGCGTCGAGTGCACTTGTTGATTCGTCAAGGAGCAGTAGCTGGGGCTTCCGGACGAGCGCGCGTGCAATTGCAAGTCGCTGCTTCTGTCCGCCTGATAATTGGTTTCCGCCAGGTCCGCAATTCGTGTCATACCCTTCTGGTAGATTACGTATGGTGTCATGAATATTTGCCAACCGGCATGCCTCTTCAATCTCCGCATCTGTTGGTATATGGCCAGGCCTTGCCCCAAGGGCAACATTGAACCTGATGGTGCCGTCAAATAGCACACAATCCTGAGGAACAAGGGAAATATTATCGCGGAATGAGACACCTTCACGTTTGGAGATATCTTGGCCATCAATCAGGACGCTGCCGGAGCTCGGCGAGTACAGTCTTTCAATAAGTGATATTATGGTGGACTTTCCTGCACCGCTGGGACCAACCAGTGCTGCAAATTGCCCGGGTTTGACACGGAGATTAAGACCATGGAGAACCGGGACGTCTGGACGGGCCGGATAGGAAAATTTCACGTTGTCAAAATCAACACTGATGCCTCCGTGATTTAAACTACAGAGTTTCTCCTTTGTATCTGCATTGGCTTCAACATCATTGAGACCTCTCCCGAGCGGTTGAATCGGGCCAGAGAACTTTTTGGTTGATCCCAGGTCGAGGAGGTTCATAATTCGAGCTAATGCAGTGAAAGCACGCGATACATCTGGCGCC